GAGTCTCAGAAGTATTACTCTCCAGCAGCTCTTTGTAATTTTGTAGCTGGACTAAATTTCAACCACCTGAAAAGGAAATAAAATCAATTTTTGACTGTGAATAGACCGGTCACGTTTCTTTTGTGAGAAATAAGAGAGAAGGTTTGCTCTTAAAAAACCTGAATAATCATTATACTTAAGTCTAAACATATCCAGTGAAAAAGGGAGAGTGAATTCTGGTGTTATTTCTGCTGAAACAGAATTACTTGCCCTAGGAAACCATGTMAAACAATGTCCTTTCCCTTAGGGGAAGTCTCAGTGTAAACTGCAGAGAACTCGGGTAACAATTGGGTTTATTTCCATTTTCTCCCCCCGTTCAGTCTCATCTTTCTTCCTTTGGCTTCTGCTGGTTCTGTTATTGTTCACATGCAAGAGTAATTACTCAGCTGGTTAATGAATTATGATGCTGCTGTTGCAGGGAAGGCTTTGTCACTTGAAAATGGAAATCAAACTGSTTGTTAATTCCCTCTGGGACAGGTGATGGATAAACCAAAAGTAAACTTTAGTCAGAGGTGGAAATGRAGTTGCTGGACCCTCTGGTAGCTGGGTAAGGTGGCAGAGTGATGGCAGCTGACCATTCTTCATGGCAAATGAAAAGATTTCTCCCTCAGTCACAGAGGAGAGGCTCTGCTGCTCAGGCTGAGCTCTCCTCTCTCCCAGAGTTGGGAAATCTCTGGATTTGCATTCTGGAACGGGCACTTGGCTGTGCAGCGTTTCTGCCAGGTGCTTTTGCATGAAGAGCCCCTGTGTCACTCTCATTCGGTGAATATTCTCTTGGAAATCTAGCTAAATTTTAATTGCATCCRAATTTGAAATGGGCAATTAGCAGATGTATATTAATTAATTCAGAATTAACAGTTCAGGATAGAGTGTATTTCTCAATACTGTTTTAGCTGTGGCAGGAGACTGAAGAGGGGAGAAAATGGAAATAAATGGAGTTGTTACCCAAGTTCTCTGCAGTTTATACYGAGACTTCCCCTAAGGGAAAGRAYGTTGTTTTACATGGTTTCCTAGTGCATTTCTAGAAGCATCCCACTGTATTTTTGATTAATTAATATCAGGAGACTGTTTTTACTCAGTGCTCCTTAATACATTTCATCATCATTTTGAAATACTGATATTCTTAGTTCACCCCAGTAGTTTTTAACAATGTTCCTTATTAGTGTGTTAAGTTGAGAACATTTAGGGTTGAAAATTACTTTAACAAATTATGTTAAAAATGGTTTAATCGGGGTGTGTATGTGAGTTAAGGTTAATTTAATGCCATTGCTTGGCATTGATTAATATCATTATTTTAGTCCTTCTTGCTACTTTCAGTGTTATTCTTATCCTGCAGGTTCTTGGTGGCTCAGGTGAAGCTCTGAGCCCTTCTATCAGATATCAGAATAAATATATATATGGAAAGCTTTTTCTTTCCATTTGTTCGGTTTGGGTTCACCAAGGATGGGTTGCTCAGTAGAAAAATGAAAAGAACCAGGATTTCTGTTGATGATTTTCCTCAGACCACGTTATTTGTCCTTTTTCTCCACTGTGCCACGTTTCCTTAAGCAGTGCCTGCAAAAGCAGCTCCATTCTTTCCCTGCCATGTCACAGTGAGCTCCATCTCCTGTGCTAAACCCCCCTTCCTTAACCTGGCTCTCCATGTCCCTGCAGGGTGTGGGACTGCGACAGGAGGAGCTGAAGATGAGGGTGAGGCTGAAGCTGGCTGGATTGAAGGTGCTGCCATCCTGCTGTCTGTCATCTGCGTGGTCCTGGTCACCGCCTTCAACGACTGGAGCAAGGAGAAGCAGTTCCGGGGGCTGCAGAGCCGCATCGAGCAGGAGCAGAAGTTCACCGTGGTGCGAGGGGGACAGGTCATCCAAATCCCCGTGGCAGAGATCGTGGTTGGGGACATTGCACAGGTGAAATATGGTAAGTGCAGCCCCTCGAGAGCCTTGGGGTGCCCTGCTGGCCCTGCCCAGGATGGGCACCCTTCGGTGGCAAAATTGTGTGATGGTGGTGCTGCCCATGGCGAGGTGACAACTGGGCAAAGAGAACACAATAACCTGCTGGAAAATTGTGCTGGTGAATCAATTTTATTGTAAAACTGACCAGGACAAGGATGGTTCATACAGTGGTCATTGTCGTGGAGGATTACATTATTCAGAATTTGTTTTAGTTTCTGTCCAGTTAGGGATAAGAGAAGTATTTTTAAATGTTGTGTAGAAGGGCATTGGGTCTCTGGATCGCTCACAAGCTGCTCCAGGTCCAGATGGATCCCCTAGAGCAGGTCCCTGATAATTCCATGCCACAGGGAAGCCCCGAGCTCCACTGGAGTGAAGACCCCTTCAGGAGCTCTGTGTGCTCCGTGTGGAGTGGATGGTAATTCCAGCAATATCCCTGTCCCAGCACCTTTCTCCTGGACTTTCCTAAAGGCTTCCCTGAGGGGGAACGGGAAAGGGCAGCTGAGCTGTTAATTAGCTGCTGTTAATTGAAGTCTGCTAGAGAAAGGTTCYGGTGATGTGAAACATTCAGACTAGCTGAGTGTTAAATGGGATGCACTGGGATTCTGGGATGGCATCAAGCAAAAAGGGTTTGCAGCACCAAGGCCCCTCCCTAGAGGGTGAAAATGCTATGCCTCGTGTGGACAGGAACACGAGTGACCCCTTCCCTTTGCTGCATTTCACCTTTTAATGCAATTAATTGGGATTTTATAGCAAAAGTCACRCTGTAATTATAAAAACAATCTGATGGTGGTTTTCCTTSRCCATGCTCTGACCACAGGTGACCTYCTCCCTGCTGATGGGATCTTTATCCAAGGAAATGATCTCAAAATCGACGAGAGCTCTTTGACCGGAGAGTCCGACCAGGTCCGCAAATCGGTGGACAAAGACCCGATGCTGCTGTCAGGTAAATCTGCCCCGTCCCCTCTGGGTTCCTGCTCTGCCTTGATCAGACTTGGGTTGGTTTTCCTTTTCCAAGAGCTTTTGGTATTATGTATTTTTGGTATTTTGATCACATTCCCTGGCCTTGTCACTTTGTCATTTAAAAGCCACGTTGTTTTTTCTTTTTTTTTTTTTTTTTTTTTTTTTTTTTTTTTTTTTTTTTTTTTTTTTTTTTTTTTTTTTTTTTTTTTTTTTTGGATGGTGTGCAATTATTTCTGATCATCATTCTTATTTTATAAAGCTGTAAAGAAATGGAACCTTTTCAGAGGAAAAGTCTCACTCAGGAAAAAATGATTGTTTCCATTTGTTTATTCATTCAATTCAATTTTAATTTAACCATACATTTCGAAGACTTTTAAAGATTCTTTAAACCCTTTAYGTGTAGGGAAAGTAAAATAAAAAAGGAAATTTAAAATTTGTGTGATGGCAGTGGAAATTGCTGTTTTTAAAAGAAGTTGGATATACAAGGTATTTTGAGCTTGACTTCTGTGGTAAGTTCAAATTAATTTTTTGTAATATAAATTTAACTCTATTTAAATCTCTTCTAATTTAAACCTATTTAACTGCAAATCAGTTAAAGAGTGGCTTTTAAATTCCAATAAAGGTGGGTCATTTGTTGAAGGATTCCATCTGGGATGTGATCACAGCAGAAATGCTGATCTATAATAACTATCATCAATGTCTAATAAACTGAAAACCATTTTGAAATAATCAGGTTTCATTGCTCTAGGGAGAGAAATTTGTCTTTACATTTCTAATGCAGAGTTAAATAAAATTTATACTCTTTATTTTCCTCTCCCTGGGTAATCTTGATGTGATTGCCAAGCAGGTGAAGAATTAACGGGGTATTTTAWTAAGTACTGCACACACTTTTGTTCCACACTTACACTGAGAAATTGGAACTCATGCCATGTTAGAAAACCCCTGAACTCCTTTTACTCAGGAACAGAATCAATGATTTGAGATTCTCTCACGCAAAATCCTTCCTTTTTCTATGGATGCGCTGCTGTGTACCACTGATGCTGAGTTGATTCCCTGCATTTTGTTCAAACACTTTGAAACCACCACGTTTTTCAGGGTGGGTTTGACCTGGATTAAAAACTGAGTTCTTGTTGGATTTTAACCTGGACCTGTACATTTGTAAGAATTGTTTAACAGAAAAAATAAAAGCAACAAAGCAACCTCCCTCAAAATCATTAACAGGCCTTTAATTTTGCTCTTACTTTTGTGCCTGAAGACATTAGTAAACTTTCTTTTGGAATTAGGAAAATAATGGATGTTGCCCCTGTTCTCCCTTAATCACCTGCTGGAAATGGAAACAGCTCAGCTCCTTTGACAGAGGAATCACTGAAAACCTTGGAATGGCAGCCACAGTTCATTTGGGAGGAGAAATTTGGTGGAAAGCAAACCCCCAGGATTGGGGAGTGTTATTTTCATTGCTGGCACCTGGAAGAGGGTTTTTAATATTCAGTCAGGTTTGGTGCCAGGATTCACCTGAATTTTGCTGCACATGAGGAGCAATCCTGAGAGTCCAAATGCTGAGTCCAGCAGAGATTTCCATCCGTACCCAGCATGTGGGGAACCACCCAGGAGGGCAGGAATGGGAATCCAGACCTTGCTTCTCTTCCATGGTCACAGAAACATTTTCTTCCATTTTATTTTATTTTATTTTATTTTATTTTATTTTATTTTATTTTATTTTATTTTATTTTATTTTATATTTTATTTTATTTTACTTAATTTTTAATTTTTATTTTATTTTATTTTATTACTTTTATTTTATTTTATGTTATTTTATGTTATTTTATTTCATTTTCTTTTATTTAAATTTTTTTTGTTTTTTCCCCCCAGTTATTTAGATGAATTTGCTGAAGGTGTGAAGGAGGTAGAGGAGCTCACCAGGTGTGTTTCTCACTGAACTGAGACTGGCAGGACGTTATTTTATCCTGCCAAACTTTTACCCATGCCTGGTTCTGTCAATGCAAAACAGGATTGGAAACAAAGGGAGCAGAGCTTAGACAGGAACAAATAAACCAAAGAAACCTCCTGGTCGTGGTGCTTTGTTATGTTTTGGAAATAAAAACAAAGCTTGATTGAGGAATCGGGTCAGTTATGGCCTGGAGCAAAATAGTTCTGGTTTGGTCTTAATCCAGAACCAGAACATCCAGAAAAGCTCCAAGCTGGGCTTCTGGCATAGGGGAAACTCTCAGAACCAAGCAAAGAACTTCAAAAGCTGTCAGTTATCTGGATATGTTAAAATTACTTGTAAATGAGGGTTTTTTTTCAGGAAAACTCCTTCCTTTTTTTTTTTTTTTTTTTTTTTTTATTTTTTTTTTTTCCACAGAGGATATTCTGATGCTTAGTTCACTTTATTATTAACTTTGGTTTCCTCTCAGTAAGTGCAATCACTAAAATGTTTAGATCTGCCCACAGAAAATTTTTGTTCCCCACAAATTTGCTGGAAGTAAAAAAACCCAGTGTCAAACCCCAAATTGGCACATTCTGCTTTCCTTTTCTTGTTTTTCAGCCYCATTTCCAACACATTTCACTATTATTAGATTTAGGGAATTCTGAGCCTCGTGTTTGGCTGAATTTTTAGTCTGAAAAATACATCCTGTAATAAATTCCTTATCCATCTAATGTTTCCCTCTTCCCTTACTAAACTTACTCYTCTTCTTCCTTTTCTGCCATGGAATAATCACCACTTATCAGCTTTGAATTAAATTATTACCATGTGAAAAAAAAAAAAAAAATTGCTAAGATCAGTCTTGAGAGGGGATGAACTCAGAAYTGTTGTACACGAAGATGAAATGCAGTCTTTAGGGACAGACAAGTGACAAACCTGCAGCCATTCCACAATTCCATTTCTGTCAGAGCTGGTGGAGATTCCCTCAGAACAAAACACAGAAAATGAAAATGTGTTTGGAAATAGTGACATTCAGGATCTTAAAGGAGGCTGCTGTACATTTCTGAGGAAGGTTTCAGAGCTTTTCCATTCTGACTGACCCAATCAAGCCTGTGCTGCCTTTTAAAGATCTTTTCTGATCTTCAGGTTTGATTGAARTTTATTTTGGTGTGGRGTTTTTTTTTGTTGTTTGTTTGGGGTTTTTGTGGGTTTTGTTTTTGGTGCTTGGAATTTTTTTTGGTGTTTTTGTTTGTTTTTTTTGTTTGTTTTTTTGTTTGGGTTTTTTGTGGGTTTTGTTTTTGGTGCTTGGTGGGATT